GATCATCTAAAGAACACACATGTCATTAACTGCCCTATATATGATCATCTAAAGAAACAACACGTCATTAACTGCCCTATATATGATCATCTAAAGAAACAACATGTCATTAACTGCCCTATATATGATCATCTAAAGAAAACACATGTCATTAACTGCCCTATATATGATCATCTAAAGAACACACATGTCATTAACTGCCCTATATATGATCATCTAAAGAAACAACATGTCATTAACTGCCCTATATATGATCATCTAACGAAACAACATGTCATTTACTGCCCTATATATGATCATCTAAAGAACACACATGTCATTAACTGCCCTATATATGATCATCTAAAGAAACAACATGTCATTAACTGCCCTATATATGATCATCTTAAGAACACACATGTCATTAACTGCCCTATATATGATCATCTAAAGAAACAACATGTCATTAACTGCCCTATATATGATCATCTAACGAAACAACATGTCATTTACTGCCCTATATATGATCATCTAAAGAACACACATGTCATTTACTGCCCTATATATGATCATCTAAAGAACACACATGTCATTAACTGCCCTATATATGATCATCTAAAGAACACACATGTCATTAACTGCCCTATATATGATCATCTAAAGAAACAACATGTCATTAACTGCCCTATATATGATCATCTAAAGAACACACATGTCATTAACTGCCCTATATATGATCATCTAAAGAACACACATGTCATTAACTGCCCTATATATGATCATCTAAAGAAACAACATGTCATTAACTGCCCTATATATGATCATCTAAAGAACACACATGTCATTTACTGCCCTATATATGATCATCTAAAGAACACACATGTCATTAACTGCCCTATATATGATCATCTAAAGAAAAAATATGTCATTAACTGCCCTATATATGATCATCTAAAGAACACACATGTCATTAACTGCCCTATATATGATCATCTAAAGAACACACATGTCATTAATGCCCTATATATGATCATCTAAAGAAAACACATGTCATTAACTGCCCTATATATGATCATCTAAAGAAACAACATGTCATTAACTGCCCTATATATGATCATCTAAAGAACACACATGTCATTAACTGCCCTATATATGATCATCTAAAGAACACACATGTCATTAACTGCCCTATATATGATCATCTAAAGAAACAACATGTCATTAACTGCCCTATATATGATCATCTAAAGAACACACATGTCATTAACTGCCCTATATTTGATCATCTAAAGAAACCACATGTCATTAACTGCCCTATATATGATCATCTAAAGAAACAACATGTCATTAACTGCCCTATATATGATCATCTAAAGAACACACATGTCATTAACTGCCCTATATATGATCATCTAAAGAAACAACATGTCATTAACTGCCCTATATATGATCATCTAAAGAACACACATGTCATTAACTGCCCTATATATGATCATCTAAAGAAACAACATGTCATTAACTTCCCTATATATGATCATCTAAAGAACACACATGTCATTAACTGCCCTATATATGATCATCTAAAGAAACAACACGTCATTAACTGCCCTATATATGATCATCTAAAGAAACAACATGTCATTAACTGCCCTATATATGATCATCTAAAGAAAACACATGTCATTAACTGCCCTATATATGATCATCTAAAGAACACACATGTCATTAACTGCCCTATATATGATCATCTAAAGAAACAACATGTCATTAACTGCCCTATATATGATCATCTAACGAAACAACATGTCATTTACTGCCCTATATATGATCATCTAAAGAACACACATGTCATTAACTGCCCTATATATGATCATCTAAAGAAACAACATGTCATTAACTGCCCTATATATGATCATCTTAAGAACACACATGTCATTAACTGCCCTATATATGATCATCTAAAGAAACAACATGTCATTAACTGCCCTATATATGATCATCTAACGAAACAACATGTCATTTACTGCCCTATATATGATCATCTAAAGAACACACATGTCATTTACTGCCCTATATATGATCATCTAAAGAACACACATGTCATTAACTGCCCTATATATGATCATCTAAAGAACACACATGTCATTAACTGCCCTATATATGATCATCTAAAGAAACAACATGTCATTAACTGCCCTATATATGATCATCTAAAGAACACACATGTCATTAACTGCCCTATATATGATCATCTAAAGAACACACATGTCATTAACTGCCCTATATATGATCATCTAAAGAAACAACATGTCATTAACTGCCCTATATATGATCATCTAAAGAACACACATGTCATTTACTGCCCTATATATGATCATCTAAAGAACACACATGTCATTAACTGCCCTATATATGATCATCTAAAGAAAAAATATGTCATTAACTGCCCTATATATGATCATCTAAAGAACACACATGTCATTAACTGCCCTATATATGATCATCTAAAGAACACACATGTCATTAATGCCCTATATATGATCATCTAAAGAAAACACATGTCATTAACTGCCCTATATATGATCATCTAAAGAAACAACATGTCATTAACTGCCCTATATATGATCATCTAAAGAACACACATGTCATTAACTGCCCTATATATGATCATCTAAAGAACACACATGTCATTAACTGCCCTATATATGATCATCTAAAGAAACAACATGTCATTAACTGCCCTATATATGATCATCTAAAGAACACACATGTCATTAACTGCCCTATATATGATCATCTAAAGAAACAACATGTCATTAACTTCCCTATATATGATCATCTAAAGAACACACATGTCATTAACTGCCCTATATATGATCATCTAAAGAAACAACACGTCATTAACTGCCCTATATATGATCATCTAAAGAAACAACATGTCATTAACTGCCCTATATATGATCATCTAAAGAAAACACATGTCATTAACTGCCCTATATATGATCATCTAAAGAACACACATGTCATTAACTGCCCTATATATGATCATCTAAAGAAACAACATGTCATTAACTGCCCTATATATGATCATCTAACGAAACAACATGTCATTTACTGCCCTATATATGATCATCTAAAGAACACACATGTCATTTACTGCCCTATATATGATCATCTAAAGAACACACATGTCATTAACTGCCCTATATATGATCATCTTAAGAACACACATGTCATTAACTGCCCTATATATGATCATCTAAAGAAACAACATGTCATTAACTGCCCTATATATGATCATCTAACGAAACAACATGTCATTTACTGCCCTATATATGATCATCTAAAGAACACACATGTCATTTACTGCCCTATATATGATCATCTAAAGAACACACATGTCATTAACTGCCCTATATATGATCATCTAAAGAACACACATGTCATTAACTGCCCTATATATGATCATCTAAAGAAACAACATGTCATTAACTGCCCTATATATGATCATCTAAAGAACACACATGTCATTAACTGCCCTATATATGATCATCTAAAGAACACACATGTCATTAACTGCCCTATATATGATCATCTAAAGAAACAACATGTCATTAACTGCCCTATATATGATCATCTAAAGAACACACATGTCATTTACTGCCCTATATATGATCATCTAAAGAACACACATGTCATTAACTGCCCTATATATGATCATCTAAAGAAAAAATATGTCATTAACTGCCCTATATATGATCATCTAAAGAACACACATGTCATTAACTGCCCTATATATGATCATCTAAAGAACACACATGTCATTAATGCCCTATATATGATCATCTAAAGAAAACACATGTCATTAACTGCCCTATATATGATCATCTAAAGAAACAACATGTCATTAACTGCCCTATATATGATCATCTAAAGAACACACATGTCATTAACTGCCCTATATATGATCATCTAAAGAACACACATGTCATTAACTGCCCTATATATGATCATCTAAAGAAACAACATGTCATTAACTGCCCTATATATGATCATCTAAAGAACACACATGTCATTAACTGCCCTATATATGATCATCTAAAGAACACACATGTCATTAACTGCCCTATATATGATCATCTAAAGAACACACATGTCATTAACTGCCCTATATATGATCATCTAAAGAAACAACATGTCATTAACTGCCCTATATATGATCATCTAAAGAACACACATGTCATTAACTGCCCTATATATGATCATCTAAAGAAAACACATGTCATTAACTGCCCTATATATGATCATCCGAAGAAACAACATGTCATTAACTGCCCTATATATGATCATCTAAAGAACACACATGTCATTAACTGCCCTATATATGATCATCCGAAGAAGCCATAAACTGATGCTAGACATTTGAGGTACGTTTCTGGTTTTGGTGTTATGTAATAATCAATACTTCTTTATTCTTTATTACAATTAGGAGCGACTTTTCGGTGTAGGTTTAACTACATCTGATATCTACTCTCCTGTATAAACACTGCCTCCTACCTGTATATATACTGGAACCCCATGGATCCCTATAAACAACATATTTCTTTTGAGAGAGACAGTTATGTTCAAGGTGAGGTAAACTTGTATAATATGTGATCACTGATACAATATCTCCTGCCAAAACGGTTTGCTACTGGCATGTATAGGAAGGGTCATTACTTATACAACGTATTGATATTTCTGTACGGCGACGCCGCGCTTCGTGTGGGTAATAATAGTCATGACAATATTCCTCGCTGGTGGCATTAACACCAACGAACATTCCATAACCTAGATTGTCATGTGACTGTGAACTTCCTTAATGCAGTAGTTGGACAAATGCCATGGTTCTTTTAGAGATTACGGGGAAGATCTGTCTGAGACAGCCAATCAGATAGCAAGCTTTCATTGATACTATCCACTTAAAAATCCGGGTTAGAATTGGTCCTCAGCAACCCATGTTTGTCGTAAGAGGCGACTAACGAGATCAGGTGGTCCGGCTCCCTGACTTGGTTGATGCATGACTTCAGATATATTTATATCTATCGGTAGCACCCGACACTCATGACAAGGTAGGTGTTTGTTTGTTGCCTAACGCCGCTCAGCAGTGCTCCTGCCATAGGGTGGCGGTCTGTAAACAAACCAGTCAGTCAGGTCATGGACCTCGACAATCCAGTAACACATAGTAGCGCATTTACTGATTTGAAAACGATACGTTAATTTTGAATTACAATTACGTAAGCCCTCTTTTAGTTTTCTACTGTCAAATTGAGTTTCGTAACTTATATACAGTTGATATAATCCAACCCCAATTGAACTTTCATTTCGTCGTGATAATTTACAGAGAGTCATAATAGCCAAGGTTAAACTTATATTTTAAATATCTTAGCTCGGCAATTTGCTAATTCATTGATTTTCGGTTATCGGTATAAGAAATCAACACGGCGTATGCAAGAACAATATATGTTAGAGAAAGTGAACAAACACATGTTCCCAAAAGACGTGAACAATTGAGAATTTCATTGCAAGCAATTAGTTGACGGTTTCCACAGCATGTTACACCTAGACACATTTGCTTCATGACAAGAGTGAGTTGGGTTTAACGCCCGTTTTTAACAGTATTCCAGTTATTTTGCGGCGTGTCAGCTTAATGTGGGAGGAAAGCCCGGAGTGATGCAGGTCTCAGACGTTTACCACTTCGGTGAAACCCACGAGCACGGGTATGGTGCTGACAAACCTAGAAACATAATCGGGTCGAACCGGGATTCGAACCCACAATCATAGGTTTCTGGCATGCCCAAGGGACGCAACTCTGCACCGCGAATCGCGGCGCCTTAGACGACTTGGCCACCCGTGCCCCCTTCATGACAATATGAAATCAACATACGCATAGCGTCAGTCGAACATTGAACAGATTCATATGAAAAGTTAGACTTGGAATCTGAGACCAGGATGTGAGACATCCTAACACTTGGTATGAGCGTGAGACATCCTAACACTTGGTATGAGCGTGACGCCGGATTATACGCACAACGCAACAAATGATTGTTATGGAAATCAGAGCTTTCTCACGCGGTGAGTAAAACAACTGTAAAATGAAAGGCAAAGTTTTGAGAAAGAATTGCAATTCCAGACTGATTGAGATAATTGTTATGCCACATCGGCATACCAACAATTTATTATAATATAGTTATTGTGCTTTCATAATATCATTTCTTTTAGGCTTATATAAAGCAAGGGGCGGTCGGGTAGCCTAGTGGTTAAAGCGTTCGCTCGTCACGCCGAAGACCCGGGTTCGATTCCCGACATGGGTACAATGTGTGAAGCCCATTTCTGGTGTCCCCCGCCGTGATATTGCTGGAATATTGCTAAAAGCGGCGTAAAACCATACTCAGTCACTCACTCATTATATAAAGCAATAATACACATGGAAAATACTTCTGATCACAATGTTTTCAGAAGTTAATACGGGCCTGGTTTATCACATAACACACGTAGTGATCCAGTACATTTTGAAATCTGTCAATAAATTACAGGATAATAGACTCATGTACAGATAAATTCTAGTTTCATAATACAGTGATGTCAGATCCGTGATCTGTCTTTATGTAAACATATGGTGATTACAAACAGAGGCAAAACGTAAATGATCACATTGTCCTGTTGTTGCTAGTCTCGGTTTTTTTTGGGTATTGTTGCTTTCGCGTGTTTGTGTTTCTTTGTTTTTGATCGGTTGACATTTTTACCAGGAGTAAAATTTCATGAATAGTTTTATGAAAATCTTATAAATAAATAATACTTGACAATGACATATTTTAATTTGTTTAGAGTTCATCAGTTTATACCTTTGAAGACACCACTATGCAACTGATGATGTTTTACACATCGGCCCAGAGGTTGTATAGAGGAGTGTTTGTGTCCTACGGCAAACTTGTTGGACGTCATCCCATTGTATTCATCGTCGCTGCGCTGGTGTCAACTGGTCTCCTGGCTCTGGGTCTGCTTCGCCTGGAGACGGAGACGGAGCTTGAGCGTCTATACACTCCCATCAACAGCCAGGCTGCTCAGGACAGACAGAAGATGAAGGCCAGATTCCCAGATCAGACAGGAACAAACTACAACATTTACAGTCTGAACGCCGAGGACAGGTACGGAGAGATCATCGCCATCTCAGACGGAAACGTATTCTCCAATACCAGTATTTGTGAGATAAGGGACCTGGTAGACAAGATTAAACAGTTTATAGTGGGTTTTGAAGGCAGGACACTCTACTACTCAGATCTATGTGCGCGCGCATCAGATATGTGTGTTATTAGCGGTGACTTCCTCTTACAAGATAGTTTCCTTTCCTCTTTGGAGCAAGGGAATGTCACCTATCCGCTATGGAACAACGTGGACATCTCATTCTTTGTAGCAGGTGTGAATGTCTCGGGCGATGTTCTCCAGTCAGCGTCAGTGATGAAACTCACCTTCCATATGCGTCAGGACAATGACACGATGTTGGCGTCGGCGCTCACTTGGGAAGACACATTTGTCTCACATATGAAGAACCAGTCCTCTTTCCTGAAGCAGCCAAGGGTTCATTTCGCGACGTCCCAATCTTTAGGTGATGAACTCAACCAAAATACGGATGCTGACGTATACTGGTTCTCTCTGTCCTTTTCGATGCTGATCACATACGCAAGCCTCGTTGCAAGTGGAGACTGTGTTGGCTCGAGGAACCATCTGGCCAGAGCTGGCATCCTAGCTGCGGGATTCGGCATCCTGGCAGGCATTGGTTTGGTGTGTCTCTGTGGTGTCAAGTGGGTGAACGTGGTCGGATTAATGCCCATCGTTGTTCTAGGTAGGAATCGTAATGTTCAAGCTAGGTTTTAGTATATTGCGTTGACATATTGTTGTTGTTTAACGCCGCACTCGGCAATATACCTGCTCTTTAACATGGACCTGTAAATAATCCAGTCTGGTCAAGACAAGCCAGTGATTGATATCATGAGCAACATTCCACGCAGTCGGGGTACTAATGACATGCAATCAACTGAGTCAGTTTAGTCGCCTTTTACGACTAGCAAAGGAATCCGCTTGGGATATTTCGTTATTGACACAAAAATTGACATAAGATATTGATTTTTGTTAAATAGACTCAGTAACCATCTCGACACTTTGAGACAAATCGTAACCTCGCAATATGTATCTAATGCATTCATGTAACTATTCGGAAGGTTTGGGTTCGATCCCAGGTACTTGTTGTTACCCTGCCTGGCGATCGGCATTAAGGGGCTGAAGCAAGGACTGGTCGGTAAACAGTGTCTGAGTCGGGTATCTCAGCGGGCTTTCACTATAAAGTCGGTCTATTACAAGCAGGCATACAGACAGCAAGCACATCGCTATGTAAGTGCAATAATCTTGCACGCGACGTTAAACCCTATTGCGGGCGTTCGGGTAGCCTAGTGGTTAAAGCGTCCGCTCGTCACGCCGAAGACCCGGGTTCGATTCCCGACATGGGTACAATGTGTGAAGCCCATTTCTGGTGTCCCCCGCCGTGATATTGCTTGAATATTGCTAAAAGCGGCGTAAAACCATACTCACTCACTCACTCGTCACGCTGAAGACCCGGGCTCGATTCCGAACATGGGTACAATGTGTGAAGCCCATTTCTGGTGTCCCCCGCCGTGATATTGCTGGAATATTGCTAAAAGCGGCGTAAAACCGTACTCACTAAACACTATTGCACGCGACTCGCCACTGCAGTTTTAGCTACTTTTGTGTATTACCTTCAGCTGTAGGAGTCGACGACATGTTCCTGATGATGTCGGCGTGGGCCGAGACTAACATCCATGGCGCCGAGTGGGATATCCCGACACGTGTTGGACACACCTTCAGCCGAGCTGGTATCGGCATCACTATCACCTCTCTAACAGACTTCCTCGCCTTCATGATCGGAGCTACCTCCGACTTCCTCAGTATCAGAAACTTCTGCATCTTCATGGGTGCGTGCTCACGTGCGATGCAAATAAGGCAAATAAAACTCAACGCGCTATACATCTCATGGGTTTGACGTTAAACAAATCAAATGATGCAAATTTTATTGTAGAGTGATGAAGTTTTTTCTCAGGGTACTGCAGGACAAAACGCTCTGAAAGTATATATCGGGAAAGGGCTATGTTTAAATATTCAATTGACGCCTGTCAGTTGTTAATATGTAAAGAAAATAATTTAGGTGTCAGTAATAAACTGAAGTACCCAGCCATAAGTCCATGTTCAATTTAGGCATATGTTTAGCATAATATCAATATGCTTCGGCATTAAAAATAACACTATGTGTTATTCCAATAAGGGTAGCCATTCTCTGTAGCTTCTTGTAAGTAATCGAAGGGAATGAATACTTAACGTTTAGTTTTCAAATAATGGAAGTAATGAACATGTGCTGATTACCACGTTCTCTTGTTTCTGTATTGTATCGTATGTTTTTTTTCAGCTGCGGCCATAATATTATGTTTCCTGTTTCAAACGACGTTTTTTGCGGGGTGTATGTCTCTTCAAGGACGACGTGTGGAAGCATCCCGCCATTGCTGCACATGCCACAAGATCTCAAGTCGGGAGGAACTTCGGGAACAAGGGAGGCCATTCCTGATTATATGCTGCTGTGGAGGCAAGCCGCCCCGTGAAAGACGTGATTCCATCTTTGAGAAATATCCATCATTATGTCTTACAAACTTTCTTCTCACCATCCCTGGGAAGGTGATAACGCTTGTGATGTTTGTGGTCTATGTATGCTTTTCTGTCTGGGGTGTAGCAGGTTTAAAGCAGGGTTTGTTCCTAAACTTGCTTGTCCCTCCATCATCCTATTATCACGGATATAGCTTATCTAACTACCACTACTTTGGGGTCAGGTTACCTGTCCAGTTTGTGTTCAGCCAAACAGATATTGATTACAAAAACGAGACCACGCTCAAGCATGTAAGGGAACTCCTTCATAATATCGGACAATCTTCGAATATGAATAATGACACTCAAGTATGCTGGCTTTTGGACTATACGTCTTCTAAACAATTCAACAAAACTTCAAACTCAGCCTTTGTTAAGAATTTGAAAAGGTTCTTAAATGACAGGCCTGATTTTAGAAATGATGTAGTGTTTGGTCCGAATGAAACCATAACGGCATCCCGGTGCCACGTAGTTTCAAGAAACGTGCCTGATTCAATGGACCAGGCTAGTCTGATGTTGTCAATGAGACAGATATCCAATTCCTCCGCTCTCCAAACATGTGCCTACCACCCCATGTTCATCTACTTTGAGCAGTTTGTGTCAGTTCTACCGACGGTGCTGAGGACCGTTGGTGTTGCTGTAGCTGCCATGGTCGTCGTCACTGCTGTCCTTCTCCCACATCCCGTCATTGTCGCCGTTGTCCTCTTCAACATCCTCATGATCCTTCTCGGGATCTTTGGCTTCATGGCTATCTGGGATTTGAGCCTCAGTGCCATCACAATGATCCACCTGGTGATGAGTGTTGGTTTCTCAGTGGACTTCACCGTCCACGTGTGTTCTGCCTACATGCTAAGTGAAGGAGAAACACGGAATGACCGTGCAAGGGACGCAATCATACACGCTGCTGGTCCTATATTCAATGGTGGTCTGTCAACATTTATAGGAATATGCACGTTGGTGGCTTCACAGTCCTATGTGTTCCAATCCTTCTTCCGCATAATGGTGTTGAATATACTGTTTGGTGTGTCGCATGCAGTGCTTCTCATGCCGGTGTTGTTGTCTCTAGTTGGTCCAATAGGGTCAACACACACAGACCCAATAGGGTCAATACACCTAGACCCAATAGGGTCAACACACTCAAATCCAATAGAGTCAACACACTCAAATCCAATAGAGTCAACACACTCAAATCCAAAAGAGTCAACACACTCAAATCCAATAGAGTCAGCACACTCAAATCCAATAGAGTCAACACACTCAAATCCAATAGAGTCAACACACTCAAATCCAATAGAGTCAGCACACTCAAATCCAATAGAGTCAACACACTCAAATCCAATAGAGTCAACACACTCAAATCCAATAGAGTCAGCAAACTCAAATCCAATAGAGTCAACACACTCAAATCCAATAGAGTCAACACACTCAACCCCATTAGGGTCAACACAGATCCTCCAAAGGCTGTAGACCAAGATCAGGCAAACATCGAGTCTTAATTAACGAATTATAGTTTGTTTGTTTCAGCTGTATAAGGACAGCATATCAATAATCGATTTTGGACAAGTCGATTCAGTTTGATTTTGTGAATGTCGATCTTGGCCGTCAGGGTACGACGACGAGCTTGACCACCTGACACACCAAGGCGCTCTTTACGACTAACATAGGTTGCTTAGCAACAAATGGAAACCCCTCGTCCCCAGGTGGGCACAGAATATAATGGTGATCATGTTTACTGCGTGTAATGCCTCAGTCGAAAATAAACATAGCTGTTCATTTAAATATGAGTGTTGTTTAGCACTGCTGTATTCAATATTCCACCCATGACACGACATACAATGGGATACACTGGATATATATTGGTAGGGTGTACCCTCATTAGTGCTTTCACTGGGAAGGCTAAATTATATGTGACTTTTATTGTAGATATTTGTTGATAACACATGTAATAAGTATTCTTCCAGCGAGTGAGTAAGGGATAGGAGTGAACGCCGCTTTGAACAGTATTCCAGTTATATCACGGTGTGTCATCTTGATGTGGGAGGAAAGCCCGAAGTGATGAAGGTCATAGACGTTTATTATTCTGGTGAAACCGACCAGTACCAGAATCTTGCTGACACACTAAGAAATAAAATCGTGTCGAATCCGTAATTTGAACCCATGATTATAGGTGCCTGGCTCGCCTTAGGGGCGTAGGGGCGGTCGGGCAGCCTGGTGTTTAAAACGTTCGCTCGTCACCCCGAAGACCCGGGCTCGATTCCCGACATGGGTACAATGTGTGAAGCCCATTTGTGGTGTCCCTCGCCGTGATATTGCTGGAATATTGCTAAAAGCGGCGTAAAACCATACTCTCTCACTCATTTACTTAGGGGCGTAATATGGTTCCGTGTCATCTTGTATGCAGATCCCTGTGAGCAATATAATTATATAATTTGATATTGTTAATAAATTGAGGATACATCTGTTCTTTTTACAATGTTGCGTTCTTATAAAACGACTCTTAACCCCCAGCAAAGCAAGCGTGTTTATCACTCATTTGACGGGGTATGCAAAGCATAAAAGACTCCTCGGTTATGTTTGACAGCGAGGCTGAAATGTTGAGGGGAAGAAAGATTCGGGGGTTTCTCAGGGTGCTGCCACTCTGGTTTACAATCACAAACGTCAGACTTGTGTGTAGGATCTGCCTTGACGGGTATCCAGTTGACGACATCTGGATGATCTGGATGCTCCATTTTGAGCATAGTTTTTACCAGTGGGCAATCTGGTCTGGGCTAATGAGTAAGGTTGTGAGTGAGTGAGTTTGGTTTTACGCCGCTTTTAGCAATATTCCAGCAATATCACGGCGGAGGACACCAGAAATGGGCTTCACACATTGTACCCATGTCGGGAATCGAACCCGGATCTTCGGCGTGACGAGCGAACGCTTTAACCACTACACTACCCGACCGCCCCTAATGAGTAGGGCATAAGATACATGCCCGCTACTCGTTCATTTATTCGCTTATTATGACAATACTATAATAGTGAACAGTGTTGTATGTCTTCCTTTAAAACAAAATATATTTCTGTATCTAAGTATATGCGTCTGAGATTATGACATAATCTTGTGTCTTGAATTTGTGAAACGAGCGTTACATTTGTTTATATTTCCCGAGCGAGAGCTTGGCAAATAAATAAATTCTGAGACGAATTTTGTAAAATCATTTATACATGGAGAGTCCAGCCCCATTTATGATATAGTGCCAGATGATTTCCAACCATGTTTGTCTGCAACAGGTCAGGAAACCTCTATTAAAACTTTCTAGGCTCGCCAGTCAATAATTCATTGATCAAGCTGACCCCGATGTATAAATTTTAGTAGTACCTGCTAGGGGACCTAATTTACATATTTATCGAATCGCGAAACCAAGTTTATCGGATTGGTTTATTGTATCGATAACACGAGTCATTATATACCCTGCAAAAAAAACCGCTACAGTGATTTTGAGATGTATATTTTATTTATCATATAAATAATCAACAGATGGTTATCAATCGTTCAAAATTGGCACACATCATCGTCATTGGCCAAGGGTCCATATGGTTAACATGGAACTGTATATCTTCAAGGAGAAGGTATCTGTTCTCAATATCTTGTAAGGCAAAAACTGACTGGCATCGTCGTCCCATGGAAACAATCAGGTCCTGAATTGTGGCCTGGTGAATGGTCACCCACCCTGCCTGAAGTGCTTGTGCCAAATGTCGGAGGTTCTGTGGCTGTAGCTGACGTGCTCACAGTACTAGTCGTTGATCCAGTGCATCCCAAAAATGTGTGATTGGGTTTACGTCTGGAGAACTGGAGGGCCATGGCAGGATGGTCTCTGGCTGCATTCGTCTGTTGCTATAAACACCAAATGGTGTTTCTGTGGACGTTAAATTGTCTTGCAACATCACGTTGACTCGATCCTGCTTCAAGCATACCAATGGCTCGCAGACACTCATTTTCGGACAGGCGTGGTATTTCGTAATGTTAAATAATTGCATTGCATAATTTTGTTGTTTTTCTGAGTGGTTGTTGTCAGCACCATGGTAAACAATGCATATGGAATTCCGTTAACGCACATGTTTTTATACCCATTCTTGGGTAGTGAAATGCATGGGGCTTGCATAAAAGTCAACTTTTGCATGGAATGCATACTTTTCTGTAGCGGTTGCGTTTTTATGACTTGATTCCATACATGCACTACAATATTGAAAACCAAACTTTACTTATTTGAAAAATACACTAAAAATATTGGTGTCACGGGAACTTTTGTTGTTGAGTATATATCTTGTATGACTGCACTGCCTCCGGTACTGTCTGTTTCGGAAGTTCACAGGACGTCGACCTGTTGACCAAAACTATTCGCACGAAGTCCAAGTGGGGTACCCTTTCATGCTTAATCCGCTAAGCTGAAGATGTTTGAGGGAGCGATGCTAGTGGTTATGTTACTCATATTAATTAGTGTCAAATCGTCATATAAACCGCCTTTATTCCTATTGCGCCTAAATCACAACTGGTACTACAACAATAACTAATACAACAATAACTACTACTGCTACTGCGACTACTACTACTACTACTACAGAGGGGGCGGTCGGGTAACCTAGTGGTTAAAGCTTTCGCTCGTCACGCCGAAGACCCGGACTCGATTCCCGACATGGGTACAATGTGTGAAGCCCATTTCTGGTGTCCCCCGCCGTGATATTGCTAGAATATTGCTAAAAGCGGCGTAAAACGATACTCACGCACTCATTACTATAGAGACTACGACAACGTACTAATGATACAGCAACGGCAGCATCTACCACATAAAAACCTAATAATCAACAACCATGACAGCTGCAACAACCGCTACTACTACTACTACAAAAATGCTACTAGTTATTGTGTAGAACTACAACTACTTAACCTCCGAATACTTTACCACACAGTGGTTAGTGATCATTATTGAGTGAGTATGATCGTTTTACCCAATACCTTAGTTATGCACTACACGATAATATTTAGTATTGGTTAAATTTAGAAGGTTTCTTGCCATATTCAAATATAACCACAAAGGAAAAAACGTGCCGACATTTCCATCTCACACGATTAACAGCACACAGAAACACAGACGTATGTATAGCAGAACTGGGATAAACAGTCCACAATTTCGTAAAAGCCCGTTTACTGTGGTAATGCTTTCGGTTAACTCTAAACGTATGACGATATATATGCGGAATATGATTTAGTTGAAATTCGTGCTGAGAACATTACTGAATATAATCCCTTTATATATTTCCCTTAAGGTCAGTTGTCATGGGAGATCTACAACTACGGTGTTTCAATAGGCTGGTGTTGCCACAGTTCGAAACAAACATAATAAATTATTGAAATATAATAGTCTTGGTTTCACGTTTATGGCTCTTATGAATCTTTGGTGCGGCTATTAGCATGTGTAAAGTTGCAAACATGCTACATTTCAAAGAGTGAAAACTCACAAGAACTTTAATATGTTTTCCTTTGTCAACACAAATAATGCTGGTGTCATCGCCGGGCGTGAGACACGACCTGACTGAAACACACATCAGCTCACGATCGGAATAACTTCAGCTTTTCAAAAGGAAACATTTTAGTGATTTAAATACGAGTAATATGTGAACGTCATGTCTTTTCAATTACACTTGAAATGGTTCGTCCTATTTGAATATCTCCTCAAGTTTATGATATGCCTGTAATCCCCCTAACGCACATCGACATACCTGAACACTGCGAGCATACAGAAATACACGTGTATTGACATTTAAATTAACTTCAGAAAGTTTCTCCCATGATGGACCAGCTAAATATTGATACCTTGTCAGTTTGAGTTAGACGAACGAGATGAGATGGTAGATTCAGAACCTAAAGAAATCTAGAACGGCTTCGTTAAGGGCTAAAGCAATACGGAAAGGGCTGGGCGGAAGGGAAAAAAATGCTGTTCAGGAACTAGGAGACTTTGAACTTTGAGTGTGTTTTTTTCTATATGGATATTGTAATACAAAATAGTGAAAATAACCGGCGATGTGAACACATACGGAACATACAGCCATTTTCACCGTGGAACTTTTGATGAAGAAATAGATCAACAGAAATGTTGTATATCAAATGCAAGTAAACACGAACATTTTAAGGGCTTACTTTTATGAACAACTCAGATGTGTTCCTAGATAGATATATGTGAACTTTGTGCTTTTTACTATAACGTTCATAACGTATTTAGGCCTTCATTTTTAGTTAAATATAAAAACAAATGTTTAGAGAAAGATGCACTAAAGTTTGTCTGTTCATTTTGAAATATTGGGAGAGGTACAGTATAACAATAGAGTTTGATTATACATATAAGAATTATATAAGAAACCTACAATACTTAACGCAAAATGGTACTCGGCGGTTTACATTGTCAATATCTTGTTTCTGTTTTCATTGACACATTTTCCTTATGCATCATTTTAGTTTGTCAGACCTTATGCAGTAATCATATATCTTGCCCTATTTTGTTACAACACATTTGTGAAACTGCGGGAGGAGTTAGTAGCTATATATACTACTCAAAAGAAGTTAAGGATCACCTGATTCTTTCTATATGCAAAAGTTAATATTTCATGTCATGACAGATTAACTTTACCATTATGAAAGAATCGGGTGATCCTTAACTTCTTTTGAGTAGTATATAGAGTACATCCAGCCTTCTGATCAAGATCCCCGTGTGTCATTGTACGCAATTCCGAAATGGGCGCTAAAGGAATTTCTATCAGTTCTCTTGTCCAAGTAATTAGTGTTTACAGGAGTTAAATAAATCTCAGTTTTGAAACTATTCTGGTCTGACAATACTACTTTAATGTAAATAAAGTTTTCTTCAACATAAACTGATTCAACATATTGTTGTTGTGATGGTTGTCATTATCAGTGCTTAAGACAAAATTGAATACTAATTGAATACTAATTTAATACAAATCTACAGTCGGTCGGGCTTTTGAATACCTGTTAGGTTTGAAGGGTTTGTAAAACTCATTTTTTTCTGGTACTACGTATTTATTTCCCGTTATTTAACAACACAGAGGTTATTTTCTCATTTGAGTGTTGAGTTAATTACCTCAGGTTTATTGGCTGTCTACGCATCTGGTCGTTATCTTGTCAAAGGGTTGTTTCAACTACTCTCTTTATTGCTGTATGCTGTGATTGTCTTCAGTGTGGATGTCTTCAGTGTTTATATTGAGCGTGAATGTGTTCAGTGTTGATGTGTTCAGTGTGAATGTGAATGTCTTCAGTGTGAATGTCGTGAGTGTGAATGTTTTCAGTGTGAATGTCTTCAGTGTGGATGTGTTCAGTGTGGATGTGTTCAGTGTGAATGTCTTCAGTGTTTA